CACACAACCAGCCAAGGATACACTTCTTCCACTAGGTTCTTTTTAAGAATATATTAGATATGACAAGTATTTTTACTTAATTACTGTAAACAATTGTCAACAGACGTTACAGTATCGGCCATCCCGCCAACCCACATACAATACTCAGGCTATTCTGTCTTATTATCCATCCTCCCTCTGTATTGACCCCTGATGGCAAGCCCAAATCAAACCAAATCTTTAAAAAATTCATTAACCTTATTCAAAATGCAGCCATTGCTATTCGATAACGAGGCTCATCTTATGAAAAACATTATAAATACTGTAGAATACTTTATTTTTGCTTGGAATTTATTTTCGTTATTTTCGCTGAAGGATGATTCCGTTAAAATAAAATCCAGCAAATATACTTTTTTTTCCGATATTTCACATTAAACTCGTCAAAAATCAATGAAAATAAATTCCATATAAAACGCTCAAAATGCCTTTTTAGCGAAAATTAACTCCAGCGAAAATAAAGTATTCCACAGTATGCAGATTCAACGAAAAAGCTTCCAGAACAAATCCCAGAGTGAATGTGCGTTGCTGACGTTTTTGGAACATTTGTGTTCGGAGCTTTGTTATCCAACAGCAAAAGCCATTGGTCTATGGGGGTGGTACAATAGAGTAAAAGTAAAATAAAGCATCTAGGTAGATCAATGTACAGCAACACAATGTCAATACCATGGAATGAATAAACCACATGGGTTATCAATCATCGGATGACATTGCTGTTCCCTTATTGACATTTCGAGACAGACAAAGTCAACGATTGTGAAAGAAATAGTATCAACACCCAAAAGCCTGGTTCTATGATCGCAGCAAAATGGACTACACAGTGCGGCACTGGTCACGAAAGGAAAACAGTGACACTCACTGCTTTGATTCTTCGCTTGGGGAAAAAAACAAATTGAAAATGCTTGATATTATACAACATTTGTATGTTAATTACTTTATAGCAAAACAAATCATGATTAAAAATTTAATATAGTATGGATCTACAGATTAAAAACATACTATAATTGCATATGATGGATTGGAGGACACTGTCAACTGGCATGGCAAATCACAAAGCACACACACTGCTGGATTGCATACATAGTACGTGTACTTTCATGAATATATATATGTATATTGAAATACATCTGTATAAAATTGTAAGTATCAACCAAAACGAAAATTCAGCCACACTATAAAAGATGTGCACATTTCAGTACGCAACGAATACATTACGTAGCATTTCATGTAGAAATACACACAGCCAGTCATATTGAAAGTGTGAATAAATATAAATTTCAACTCGCCATGATATTAAAATGCCGATATCAAAGTTATACATACCTAAAAAAAAATCAGCTTGTATAAATCAGAATATCGTTAGACACACTAAGGAATAGACTATACAAGTAGCTCTCACCTTCGGCAATGAACACACATATGCGCTGACCCAATTACATACTTATCTCTTGTTTCCTACATACTCTTGACTACTGTGGAATACTTTATTTTCACTGGAATTAATTTTCGCTGAAAAGGCTTTTTGGGCATTTTGTATGGAATTTATTTTCACTGATTTTTGATGAGTTTAATGTGAAATATAGGAAAAAAAGTATATTCGCTGGATTTTATTTTCACGAAATCATCCCTTCAGCGAAAATAGCGAAAATAATTCCAAGCGAAAATAAAGTATTCTACAGTATATAATATTGTGTTAGCACTACATGTGCTGGAGGTTAGAATTACAAATCAAATTTAGTTACACCTTATTCTGATAAAATTGTTAGTTTCTATGGTAGCTATTAACAAGCTCCTTCTCCGCTGAGATAACTCGGCTGTTCAAAACGCACATTTTCATTAGAGAATTAAAGATATGATATGAACAAGTCATGTGTAGTAACTATATGTATAATATCAAAGCAATCAGACTTGCAGTTTTCAACAAGAAGTCGAAAATATCATTTTTTACTAAAAATGATAAAAAATATTCATCAAAATTAGAGAATTGAAGATATCATTATGAAATGATCAAATCTGAGATAGATCCACCTTAGATACCTATATGATGCATAATATATCAAAACAATCGGACTTGCGGTTTTCAACAAGAAAATTTAACTTTTTAACAAATATAGAGACAGCAGAGCTCAAAAGGCATGCATGGTTATGACAGCAAATTTATTACAATCTATGATCTCAAATGGATTAAGAGATTTATACTACATCAATCATGAAAAATATAAACCAGAAAAATATAACAATTACAAATAACTTCATACATTACTCTTTCCATGAACCCATGTGGTAAATACTGTAGACACTGGAGATACTGTAGAATACTTTACTTTCGCTTGGAATTATTTTTCACTATTTTTGCTGAAAGAACGATTCAGTGAAAATAAAATCCAGCGAACTAAGTTTTTTTCCTATATTTTACATTAAACTTGTCAAAAATCAGTGAAAATAAATTCCCTACAAAATACCCAAATAGTCTTTTCAGCGAAATTAATTCCAGCTAAAATATAGTATTTTACAGTAGTCTATTTGTAAGCGTGCATGTTTGAGTGCTAGTTGTATCATAATGGATGTGACGGCAAAGCTATGGGTTAACCGTTTTATTACTATTTCAAATACTGTGAACTTGTGAGTAGTTTGCAATGATTACGATTTATTTTCAAAGTGTTTCCAGCCTATACGCTTCACCGTCATCTCTAGTGTAAAGAAGAAAAGTTTCAATGTAAAAATATGACACCTAATTATGTCTGTTACAATGGTGTCATCGTATTTGATCGATACCTTTCACGATCCTTGGAATATGTAATCAGTAATATAAAGTGCATACTCTTTTGTAACCAATGTAAGTTAATAGAGTTTCAATGCAGTGGAATTTTGAATTTTGGACAAATTTTTGGTTTCTCGTGAAGCGACATGCCTTAATTGTTGACGTCACTCAAGAATATGTTCATTCATTCCTGGCATGTGACACCGGAAAATTGACAAATTGTCAGAAGTGGTTATGTAATTTTATACAAGTAATTACTATCTGAGAAGTTGCCCATCCAGAAAAAAACAAACAAGAAAAGCCTCTATCAAAAACATTTATGCCTGAAATCCCCCTCACATAGGAGATCAGAATATAGTTTATATAATATGTATACTACATAGAAGAAGCAACCTAATTGGCTAAACATTTGAACTATGGCGGTGCAACTAACATATACCATTTTCTTATAAGATATTTCAAGGTAATATGTGGAGGTAGTGAGCTAGAACATCACACCTTGACAATCAATTTATATAATGTCTATACGACATAGAAGAAGCAACCAAATTGGCTGCACATTTCTCTGTTTGGGCTGTGGTGGTACGACTACCATACGCCACATTCTCATACATATAAGTTACTTCATTGTAATATGTGAAGGCAGTATGGTGAGCTGGAATATTAAACCTCGAAAATTTAAGATGTCGGGTATCCATATGTACATGCAAATTAAGAATTTATCAGACCATATGGAAATACCTGAAACGACAAAATTTGTCTACTTTCTGGCAGTATATACAGAGAAAGTTCAAACTATTTGATATAGATTTGCATGATAGTAGTACACAAAAATGTATACATTTGACCAGAGGCTTGAACAAATCAAAGAATTACTATGCTCTTGGTATCGTGCAAAGAAGACTCACTCACTGGATATCCTATACATTTTAGTTCTGAGCAGTAACTTCTTTTATACACATGGACTGTATATACTATGAGTGTAAAAATCAGTTTTCAAGGCACGCAGTGGGAACTCCAGAAATGAGAGAATGTTTTCCTTCTGGTTAAACTAGCAATCATATCCAGTACGTGACTGCACAAATTAACGTGAACACAGGATTAGGAACCATTAATAAGATTTTACCAAGGACCTTGTCACATGTACTGAATGAATGAACAGAGAGTTGCTTAGTGCAATACAAACTATGTAAGTACTTGACATGTGTTAAGCCATTAAATATTTAATTGATTGGTGGAGGAATTCAAATCAAGAAATTACAATTCCTGACAGATTCTGGTTTCTACTCTCCGGGCACCCCAAGGAATAAAGGAATATCACTGGTAAATGAACTGTGAAATGAACAGAATGAGTCGGAAATGAAGTAAAAATATCAACGACAAACAACACTGTTTTTTTTTCAAAAGTACAGTGAATATGTGTAGATTATAGTTGATGTCTGTGCACTCCATTTCTATAGTTGCCAATTTTGTTTATACAATATACTTGGCAGGGAGATTATAACTATAGCTTATATAATCAGTTTTCACTCTGTAGACTGAGTATTACCGGGTGGTGATACATTAACGCACACATGAATATAAACCGACAGACTTGCAGACTCAGCTCAAAAAGATGAAAGACACATACAAATACATACATTCAAACACATATGATTCATCCAATAAAAATTGCCGACCTACCAGTTTGTTATTACTTCACAAAATCTGTTTCTAAAACATATATTGCAAATACTTGCATACATCATGTAAACTAGCTGAGTTGGCCAGTCTCCATAGCAACAAATTGTGGGATGCACAAAATGTATAAACTAAAATTGGAGTGTTACTACACGCAAGTTATGACAAAACACATGATGTATGAAAAAAAAGCAAATTTTGATTAATGCAGTACGTTGCAATAATAATGTCATATTCATACTCACCATAAATCTAGAATTCTAGTCTCTATTTTCAAATTGGAGTGGAGAAACTCCTTACAAACAGTCCTTGAAGTAAATCAGAAATCAATTTGTGCTTTCACATTCGATGCGCACATTTCATTATATGGCAGGCCTCGTCAATATCCTTCTTTCTAAATATTCCCCTATAATTTATACGTCCTGAAATTAGATTAAAGAGAAAAAGGTCAGGCGAAAAAATCATAAAATTGGAAAAATAGATTGCTTGATTTAACTAGCCATCAAGTTTATGTATTCTGAGCTGTCATTCATAACTGATGACCTGAGACAACCTTTAATATAATAATCAATACACAGTAGTGAAAGGTGACAGCACTGAATATTTTAGAGGCAAAACATTTTTTTTTTTACATTTTGATATTTTGATATTTTGCTGTTTGTCACGCAAAATGTCAATTCTCAATAGACCAATTAACCATTCGTCATGCAACTTTAAATTGCTCAATGTTTTGATTTCATTTGTACTACGACAGTTTTATACTACGCCACACTACGCTGTTATACGTGCTATTCTACTAGTAAATGTAATCAACACTGATTTTCAACCGCAGTCTCCTGCATATCTATCTCTAATATGGCCGGGTTGCAGGAAATCTGAACTGGTGCAACCGGAATTTCCCAGCAGGCAACTAGGTAATTAGCGATATCATATTAAACAGTGAACAAGATTTCTGTAGTACAAGTGCAAGTTCACGTCCAAAAATATACTCCATGTACACTGTGGTCAGATAACCTCAAGGGCTGTATGTTGCTACATGAATTAGGAATTATTACACAGTGAGACCATCCTAAGAACTGGCCATGTCAGAGACGACAGTTCAGTGACCCCCCTCCCCTCCAGATGACACAAGTCATCACCTACCATTAATTATTTACAATGTTAAAACAGTCCCTGACATGACCAGCCAGAATCACAACAATACACTGAAGTGGAGATTAATTAAACACTTTATATGTAATCACATTCCCTGTATTGACTGGTGTCATTATGTGTACAGTACTGTACAATGACAGGGACAGGAATGAGAATATTGACTAGTGAAAAGTTCACTGTAGGGCAGTTACAAGAACAAAGTTGTAAACTTTAAAGTGCAATAGTCGCTATGTGGCATACGTTGAATTTGGGTCAAATGAGATAAGTACAAAGCTGGTAAAAAAAACTTTACGTATGTCTATATGGTCAAAATACAAAACACTTTTTTTTATTACAGTTTCTTTTAATACTACAAAACAATAAGTCATGAATTAATGAATTTCTGTCTACACAATATGAGTTAATATGATCCATACATGCAGAGTTAATTTGTTCCACAAAAATCTGCTTCTCTCTAGTACGAAGCATCTAAAAAGACTCCGAGCAAGACGTGAATATTCACATATCACTTCTGAACATGATTCCGATCGCACAATAGGAAAAGTGAAACACTATGAGCATGCAATCATCTTGATATCACTGTCAGCTGGTATCTCTATTACCCAACAGGAATATAGAAACCAAAAAAATGGAAAAGAGCACGTACAACTAATTTATTTAATTTCCACATGAGTTTGTAATTAGATAAACACATACACAAGACAAATGTACGCAAGACACACAGGTTATTTCAATAACATGGTAACTAGACAACATAATGTGTAAACCTGTCATGTTTCTATCAGAATCTGACGGTGATTAATGTCTAAAAAGCACAGTCTAGTTTTGTCTACGATTTCCCTTGGGGTTTGAAAGCGTGTCATTTTTGTGTTTATGTTTGAGTTAACCAATTAGAATACCATGTGTGTACATTGCTCAAAGCTACAGTTTAGTTATTCAAAAAAAAAAAAAAATATCCCAAAATATTGGCTAATTTTTTTTATTGCAAATTGGCAAGCAAGTTTTGGGGCC